CTGCCAACCGCCATAAAACAATACTAGAAGAAGAAGAAGAAGAAGAAGCTGTTACACGGCTACGTTAACGTACACAGCCCCCAAGCTAAAAGCTAACAAGCACTTTTCGATGTTTTGACTTTTGTTTTCGCGTTTACTTTGTGTCTTTTTTTGTCATACTATCGGTGAGGCCTCTCTGTTTATTTTACTTAAATAAAATGGTCGTTTTGACTGACAACAATGAAGAACGGGAGTATATGTGAGTGCGAATTTATGTATGTTGAATTTGAGCTAGCTAAATTAGCGTTAGCCAGAACTCTGAAGCTCATTTGAAGCTACATATGTTGTCCCGAGCCTTTTTGTCAGATTTATTTCGGATAAAACACTCGTAGGTTGAGTGATTGTTTTCTAAATTTTACAAGTTTTCAGCAGTGTTTTTTTTATAACCCAAATCTTGATGTTTTATGAGACAGCTGAACTGCCCTTGTTTAGCTTGCCTGTTCACTAATGTTTATTCTGGTTAAAATTAGTTACCCCGTAAACAACTAATGCATTACGAATTCATAATATGCTTCCCCTGCCAGCCATTGGCTTAAAAGAAACATATAATGGAAAAGAAAACAGACATCTGTAAGATATTAAGTGTTTCTGCTTTATAAATCTGCAGCAAATGAATTAAAGCCACAGTCTGTTTTAAAGGTCCGGATGAAACCTAAACAAACCCAGGTAGAATTACATGTCATGATGCTAGTAGCATTCAGGTTTCAGGCTAAGAAAAGGATCAGCTCTGGTTAAAGTTAGCAGCTGACAGAAACACAAACACATTGACCTACATTTGAATATCCACCCTGATCCACTTAAACAAGAGAGAAGTGTTGGGGTTCAATACAAGGAGAAATTATTTTAAACACTTTGAACAAGTGGTCCAAGCTTACGTTACAACTCCCCGTTTGTTTTTTTATTTTAAAGTTTTATTGATGATGACCTGAATGGGTGGGCTCTTACGGATCTGTCTGACCTCCTGCAGGCTTATGTGCTGTCTAGATCCCTGGGCTCTCATGATTATTTACCTTTACCTGTCCACAGGTGCACTTTAAGCTTCTAACGTGGGACAAACTGTTGTTCCTACTGACTATTCAAGACAGGCTCCAATCATCTGTGATTTTACATCTCATCTAAAAACACAGTAATTTATATTTTCCCATCATTCTAATGTTTTATAGTATACTTTGTGTTTCATCTTTTATTCTTTTTTTGTTTGTTTGTTTGTTTTCTAACCGGTTCACAAACATGCTTTAGAAATAATCTTTTAACTTTTAGGTTTGTTTTTTTCCCCAATCATATCACATTCAACAGGACGCAAACACAACTCTCAGGAAAAATGTAATCATCAAACTTAGCAGGTCTAAATAAGAGAGAACATTTACGTTCTGCAGGAGAACAAACCCAGTTTACATACATCCCACACAGTTCTTTAGGGTATCCTCACATTTGCCTTCATCTGGATTTACTGGGTCGTAAAAATACAATATAAAACTCGTATAATTCAGTGTGTCATCATAAAATCCACTTTGGAGTCATCAATTACTTTTCCACCCATTTAAATCCCACAGTGAACTATGTGCTAACATTAATTTATTTCTGTTTTGCGTTTATTGTGTTCTACATGTTAATTTTATTGTGTCTGGAGATAAATCGAAAGGAGTGTTCAATTTCAGCATTTATACCCAAATAAGTTTTAAACGAATGAAAGAAACAGTCTGAGATGAGCGGCTGCTATGTTCTCCTACATATGTGTGATTAAAACACACAGATGTTCTTGTTCTCTGTTTTTCCAGCCTGATAGAGGAACGTAATTGCATCTCGCTGCCATGTTCTCCCGCCAAGCGAGTGTCTCCTGCCAAGAAGAAGCAGTTCTACATAAATCAAGCCATCCGTAACTCTGAACTCATCCCACGTGCCAAAGGCAAGAAGAGCCTTCGTCGACAGGAAAACAGTAAGTTCTCATTTCAGCTGATCAGATTATCAAGTTCACCACTAGCTGAATGGGGCAGGAAGTGAAAGAAACTAAAACAGGACTGCGTGAAAGTAAAAATAAGCCCCTTATACAGATTTTGTTTTCCTTTGGCTGCAGTGGTCACCACAAAACCATCAGGTGTGGACTTCTTCACATTTATTCCAGTCAACAGTCCTTACAGTCAACAGAGCAACAAAACTTTGTCTGAACAAAACTTATCCTTGTTCAACTATATTTCCATCAGCAACTTCAGCTCATGTCATGATGAAATAAACTTTCAAGTTAAAGTTTCTTTGTTGTCATTCGCATCACATGAGGTGGAATAAAATTGTGTACTCAGGATCTCAGTTACCCCAAAATATCAACATTATAAAAAGAAACAGCCACGCCTCAGTTTGTAATTGTCGTCAGCTAAAGTTCTGTCTGTGCGTCTTGTCTCAGTCCGGTTCCACCTCATTTTTCTTTTCACAGTCACATATTTTGTCACTCACACTTTTAACCAAAATGTTTTCTCGTAAAAAAAATCTGTAGCGTTCGTTGGGGGATCAGCAGCTTTTTGGATTTATTCCCTGCCCATCATTTAACTGTGATATATTCTGATATGCATATCTTTACTCGTGTATGTGTCTCAAGGTGAGCCCTCTCTGTTCTCGCCACAGGCGGTCAAGACAACTTCTGTTGTAAACTTTCCTTTATTTCTTTTCCTGCCGACAGTTGGCAAAGTCCGTTGTTTTCGCCACAGTCGGTAACGTAAAAAGGCAAGTTCGATGAAACACAGCTGGACTGCGTCCCAGACTTGGACTTTCGGAGACTGACAACTTCCTGGTTTTACTCAAAACCTCTTGTTTTCACAACAGTCCCGGCAGTTCTGCCCAGGAATTCAATCCTGTCAGACCGAAGGCCCCAGTACGGATTTTACAAACCAGACGAGCACCTTCTGAGCCCCTTCAGCTCCACAGTGAAACTAACCCCTTAGTTATTAAAACTCATTATGTGTTTGGATGAAGCCTGGTCAGTTTGGAATCAAAGTCCATTGGGTCCCAGCGGTGATGATCACGGGCCCCTGCAGCCAGCCCCTCGTCTCTCTGCAAACCTACAGTTGAGGTTGAGGGATGGAAGTTTTCCATTCCAGGCTGATCAGACGTCTGATTTGGAGTCTGGACGGTCACTCAAGGGACCCTGTTTGTGACATCAAATTGTTGTGGATAAAAAGATTCCCAGAATGATCAGGTGTGGACCTCATCGTATTCATTTCAAAGCTGTGGAGAACCGTCAGCAATCAATCAGGAATGATTATAATCCGAGAAAGGATCATGTAAACATTCACAATAACAGTAAAGGAGCAGAAAAGGTTATGTTAATATAAGATATTGTACATGTGCTCATGTATTCTCGACAGTCACTTTAACTTAATAAATCAACATATTGCTTTGTTCACGTCACCTCTTTCCACATTTTTTTGTTTTGTTTTTTGTTTTGTTGTTAGCACGCTATCTTGACAATCTCCTTGAGAAGGATGAGTGCTCCAAAGATGATCTGGAGGTTTGCAGTAACCCCGCCATCCCATCCATCTTCACTGAAGCCCGCACCAATGGAACCTACAGAGAGGTATGCTGGTGAAGATAGGTACTCATCTGGGAGCTTTGATCCAGTTTGGCATCTCTCCAAAATCACAAGTGAAACTAAACTTTGCTTCATTGTAGCCGTGGAACGACTTCATGAATTGTTCTGGTGAGGAGCAGGAGAGGCTGCTCTCTCTGCTGGAGCAGGAGGAGGCCCGGAGGAAAACCACCAACCAGATCCTCAAAGACCAAAGGAATGGTGAGCCACACTGGTTGTTTGTTTGTTTGTGTTGTTTGTTGTGCACGCAGCTGTCTGGTTGACGGGCGCTCATCTCTGCACAGTGTATCCTGCCTTTGCTGCTCAGGGCTGCTTCCTAAGAATCGATCGGCGGCTTCGAGCGACTCTAAAGCGTAAACAAATACCCATGGTAGGTGTCGTTTCTTCATCGTTTCTCCCGCCGAGCTTAGAAAGTTTGTGCTAATTACCCGTTAGCTTCTGGAGGTTTAAATATGCTCATAAAGATTTAATCTGTTATTATTATTATTATTGTTCACTACTTAAAGACACGTTTAAATGTGTAAAACTTGGGGCTTGGAATGTGGGAGATTTTTGTTCTTTCTTTATTGAACAATTTTTATGTTTTATTAATCTATCTTTGTAACCCTTTGCTAGCGAACACCTAAAACATTCTTAATATTTTGTTTTTAATTCATTTTTTTAAAGTAAAATGTTTATTTTGAATCGTCTTTAATGCAGACACAGCCAGTTTGGTTTTGATGTGTGTTTTATTAATCCCTCAAAGTTTATGAAACTCCTTTTTGTTAGAAAACTAATTTACATGACTGTTAACGATTGATGAATTAAAATTAAACCCTTTTGTCCCTTTATTTGAACCAGCCTGTTAAAAACATTGAACGAGATGAATGAAGCGAATCAGACATTTTAAATACATTTTGAACGCGTCAGTCAGCTGAGTAATGTGCACTTTTCTTTTTCTTTTGTCACATTAGTTTCAGATCAGTTTTTCTTCCAATCATAAATCCAGATTCTTATATCTGTCGGACAGCTTCGGATGTTTTGTGTCAAACGTTTTGAGCAGAAGATGTGGCTTCAGATTGTCGAGTCGTGGCAGGATGTGCGTCAGCTCCAGCCTCCTGTTATCTGAACAGCTCAGAACATTCTCAGCGGTGGAGGATCGTGTGACAAGAGGAAGAAATCTGAACTTTTACAAATCTCCTGCTGAAGCGCTGTACTTTCCTTGAGCACAAACTGAGATTGTGTAGATTAAAAACCTAACTTCGCTCCCCTTCTTTTCTCAGGGAACGCTGGAAGTTCTTGAAGAAAACCTCCTGAGCTTCTTCAATGCTGAGCCTCAGTCTGTTTACACCACCGTCCTCAGCAGCAGGTAGAAACTCTCTTTCTGTTGTCTGAATATTCGCAGGTCGTCACTGGGATCGGTTTCTTTTTTTTTAAAGCTGCTAAGGTAAGTCTTTTGTGAGCGTGTAGGTTCAGAAATCTGCACCATCGTTTCTCATCTTTTTATTTTATCATGAATCAATGTTCATGCAACGCAAATAAGCGTGTGGTATTTTTAAAAGACTCAAATTTGTATTTTTGTTTGGTTCTCAAACTATTTTTTTTTGTTTGGCTCCCCCTTTTTGGAGAAAAAGAAAACAAATTCAACAGAATCAATGCAAAAATAAAACAACTTACAGTTTAATTTTTGATCATTAAATGCATTACATCATCACAGCACAGTTGCGTAACAGAAACTTCCAAATCAAAGCAAGCTCAGAATCAGAATTCAGAATCAGCTTTATTGTCATTGCACAGAAGCGCAACGAAATTACATTTCAGGACAGCCGTCCAAACAAACATGGATAGACGGGAATGCCTGAGGCTGCAGCCTCGTGGGAAGCGCTGCCCTTTTCGTTTAGAAAAGTGAAAACATGAGGAAAGAGGAGGTAAAAAAAAAAAAAAATCATATCTCACACTGTGTTCTTGACGGGACACAGTGCGAGGTTGCAAGAAAACCTCAGCACAAGAAAAAACAACATACTGGTGACATAAAAAATAAAAATTGGCACATACAAATCACCAAAACCTTGTTTATGTTGTGTAATATTAAAATCTGCAAATATTCATGACAATCTACAAACACACAAAACTGACACTTTCTCTTGTCACCCGAGCTTTTAATAGGAGAAAAAAAAAGTTTCACTATTTCCTTAGGCATACAAAAATACAACTTTTATTGTTAATATTGTTTAATTCGAAGCACTAAAGCAGCAGAAACGGCAAGACTCAAAGAGGAAAATAATTTTTCAGCAGCTTTGTCGCACCACCTGTCCCGCAGCGACACGAGCTTTTAGAAATGAAGTGAGCATCGGGTCGTGGAGCAGAACTCGCCTCAGCTGGGTCATCTTGAAGCTTCAACACATTAAATGTGTGACGGACGTCGCCCTCGTCGTTTTTATTAAAGCACGAACTAACTCAGTTTCATGATCCGCGATTAAAATATTAGATTTTACATTTTCCAAACACTCTGCTGTGAGAAAAATAACAAATACAGTGATAGACAGTTAGTTGTTTTGTGCATCCCTTAAAATAGGTTCAGGTTTTCCAGGTTCCAGTCTGGTGGGAAAAAAAATACATTGAGTGACATCACACCTCCTCTTGGCACAGCCTTGGACCCCCCCCATGGGTGTGCTCCCCACAGTTTGAGAACTACTGGTTTAAACCCAGTAGCTTGTCTTCAACATTGTTGTAAATACAGCAACAACTCTGGACAGTGTTTGTGTTCTAAAAGATAAAACGATTCTTACATTACGAGTCTTGATGATGAACTTTTCTGGCTCCAAATAACTTTGATCCCATGAATATCTCACTCAGACCTCACTGCAGCTTTTTAGACTGTTAACACACTTTTTAGTCCCGGGCACTTGGCAAATAACGACTGCTGGGTGCCCACACTGATGACCTGGAAAAGCAGTTTCCATTAAATTAGATCAAGCACTCACAGAGAAGCTGACTGGTCCCAGCAGCACACGAACAAAAGCTGGATGTGAGGAACTGGCAGGTAATTGGCCTTAAATAGACAAATTGTATTGATCCATGCAGGGAGAATGGGACACAACAAAAGCTGCATTAATACTTGAATTGATTATAAAAGATAAGATGACGCTGAGGAGTCACGTCTGTCATTCCTGTGTTTGTGAAACAGCTTTGAGAGGCTGCTGCTTCACGCCATCTGCCAGTACATGGACCTCGTCTCTGCAAGTGAGTGGAAATCCCACAAACCAAGCTCACATTTCACAAATTACCACACAGGGTTCAAGTTTTCACGCATTAATGTGTCGAGAGTGATGGGTGTCGTTGTTTTGGACCTCCAGGCATCAACTACAACGGGTCGCGTCGGACTGAAGTGGCGAACAAGCAGGAGGAGTTTCTGCCTCCTGACCTCCTGCTGTCTGCCTACCTGGAGCAGATGCTGTAGTTCATGAGAAGCACCGCCTGAACTGTCCATCAAGTACAAACCCTCCGTCCCTTTCCTGGCTTTCCTCCTGAAGTAAATGTTCCATTATTTTATCAGCAACCAGTACAGACTGGTGTAGGTTTGTTAATGTGTTGCGTGAAGCTGCAACCAAGAGCACAACCTGAAAACACGTCTGAGTAATTCCCTTTAAGAAGCTCCTAACGTCTTGGCAGAAAACGTTATGGAAAGTAAAATTAGCCATTTACCACCAGGTGATGAGTTGGATCAAAAGCTAATTAAAAGCTGGAGTTTCACAGCTAAAGAGCCTCCACAGTACGTTACTTTAAACATGTTAGTTTAGCTCCAGTATGTCCAGTTTGAGCCTCCCTTTGCTGTGGTCTGACTCTAAAGACGACCACGGTGCGGGGAGACTTTGCACCACCTGTCTGCTTTGTAAACAGCCCGCAGTGTCCATGAACTCGTTTTCTACTGCCGCTCCACTTTTACAATCGCTAACTGGTATTTATGAACATTACAAACAAGGTTTGTACTTGATTTTTGTAGAACATCGTCGATGACAACAGTTTATAACTTTGAAAAAATGGCAAACAATTAAAAAAAGGTTGATAAAATGATTGAAAACTGAGATTGTGAACGCAGCTCTTTCGTTCCCGTCTTTCAAACTGAGACGCCTCACACGCCGAGTTTTTTAAAAACGTCCCAGTCTGACACATGGAAATGGTTTGGTCCAAAACCGCAGACAAAGGTTTGGGATTTTTCCCTCTGGACCAATGAGGATGACGCTGTAAGACCAGATTTTCTTTCTATGAATCTGGTTCTAAGGAAAAGAACTGGTTCTGAGCTCAGACCTTCTCCTGACCCACCACTAGACCCATTTTGATTGACACTGCAGTGATTTATGGGTATTTTCATGGAGCTTTGTGGCTCGTTCTTAAATAATAGATTAACTATAAACCCCCTAAAGTAGAATGAGTTGTTTCCTCATAAATAAAAAATATTTCATAAATAACGCGTTGTATTTCCTAAAAATAGAAAATTATAACCCGAGTCTAAACGTTCATGTACAAGGAAGGCAGAAAGTATCAACAGCTTCACTTTTTCCACATTTTCTCGTTACAGCCTTATTCTAAAAATGGAATAAACTCACGGTTCCCTAAAAGTCTACACACGAAACCCCAGAATGTGGAAAAAGTTGTCGTATAAGTAGGATCAAAAGCTACGCCACACTTTTTGTGATTCTTTCATTCAAGTTGTGAAGCGTGTCCCGGTCATTTAAACCGCTGCCAAACTTCACCCCTGGTTGACTTAACCCTTCATTAACTAAACCACAGGAACAACAGAGACTGTAAAGTTGCTCTGTTGACGTGAGCGGTGCGAACAGCTGAAAATCATCACTGCCTGCAGGGTTCGTGTTCGTGACGCATGAATATTAGTGACCTTCCTGTAAGAACGGATACTCGGCATAGACGAGGACTTAAACGTCTCCTGCTGTTGTGTGGGAAGCAAAGTTCTTGTTTATAGTTGTGCGTTAATTAGAAGTAGACGTGTCAGGCCAACTCAAAGGTTAATAAAGCTGTAATCATCTCTGCTCGCTTAGAAAGTTTGTTAGGATTTTCCTCTAGTTCTCTCACGGTTTACTCAAATATCATTTTTACATCGGCTTCTTTACGTCACCTGGTGATGTATGAACGTATACTGTATTGTATGTACAGTAGGTGTGGCACACAGACATGTATGTAACCTTATTTAAGGCTTTTTTTGATGGTTTAAAACGGGTTTTTATTTAATTTAATAATAACGCCTACATCCGGGGGTGAAACAAGTACTTCTGCCTTAAAACATACACTTTCTATAATTTGTCTGTACATCACTTTTTACATTTGTAGATGAATTTGAAAAAGGTTTACAGGTTCTTTAAAACATCCTATTTCTGTAATATATATATATATATATATATATACACACACTGTCGTGAGCAGTGTAATAAAACTTGACCTGTTTATTCTTTTGGTTTTTTTGTCAACCAAAGTTTGTTCATGTGTTTGTAAAGATATTGAACTTCTCAGGTTCTGAACTTTTCTCTCTGAATGTGATGAAGTGTCTTCACGTGTCGTCTTTTTTTGTGTGTGCGACATGAACTTGTCTGTCTGATCGTGTTCGCCTCAGCTACCTGGAGTACTACCAACTTTTTAACAACAAGCAGTCGTGTTGTACATTTTTAACTGACTTGTGCCAAACTGTGGGCCTTTTAAGCCCGGTGGTCTGAGAGCTTTGCACACGCTACTTAATCATCTTTGTGTATATTCTGTACGAGGTGCGTATTTATAATCTTTACTGCAGCTATTAAAGGATTTAAGTTGCACCGTTTTCATTTTTCTGTCTGAAAATCTTATAAATTAATTCTTGCAGCTCTGACGTAGTGTATAACATTCTCGTCATCATTTGATTAAAAGGAAAAGTTATGCATTAATTAAGTAAAACATACAAAAAATGAAATAAGACGCAGAAAATGTTTCGTTGGTGTTACGTCCACTGTTACCGTCAGTGATGCTTGGTTTTAATGTATGGTTGAGCATCTCTCTTCTCATTTTTAAACTTCACGTTTATTCCTCAACAAATGAACAAATATGAGTAATTTACCCAAAAGAAATTAAAATCTGATCAGGTTTATTTGGAGAAAAGGAAGAAAAAAATCCCTTCAAAGATTATTTTAATCTGTAATATATACAGCACAGTTTGAAAGGTTTAAGTAATTCCTTGTTTCTGTTTTGTGCTTTAATAAAACCACACTTCTGTAGTTTTTAAAGTGATTATTACCGGTAGTTCTCCAAGTTTTCAGTTCTTTAAAATATTTGTTTGAAATGTTGCTTTTTTTAACTTCCTCTTCCAGCGTTTTTGTCCAAACATGACTTTCAGAAGATATTTTAGTCTTTTTAAGACCGATTTTTAGATAATTTAATAATAAAAGGCTCCTAAACTCCAAGAATAAAGTGTTGCATAATCATGACTGACAATTTAAATGATTTTAAGTAGGATTTTATGCACTTTGGTCATAGCAGTTTGCCACAAAGACACATTTTTGTTGAACCAGTGAAAATTTTCAGATAACCCAGTTTGACACAAAATATTGTGGTTAGTTCTTTTCAGGTGCGACATGTCTTCTTTTGTCCTGGGCTTGTGCATTTTTTTAATTCTTAAATCCAAAATGGGGATGGGCAGAAAAAGCAGCCTGGTCAACTTTTTTGAAAAACCCTCACAAAGCCTGAAGAACAATCGATCAACTTTAAAAGATCATTAAAAAAAAGTCTGGGTCCTTGTTTTTAAAAAATATAAAGAAATTAGGAGTGGTTTACAACTTTTCCACAAGTGTAAATGAGTTGTATTTCTTTAAAAATTAGGTTTAAAGTGAACATTTCTGTAAAAGAGTTGGTGTTCTGACGTCATCCACGAGGTGGCGCCAAAGTACTAAAAACAACAATTGATCAGAAAGGTTTAAAAAAAAAAAGTGACCAGAGATGTACATTGGATTTTTTTATTTTTTTTTTGTCTTGATTTTATTTTTGTTTCTCAAATTGGAAAAACTTAATAAACTGCAAGTAGCCAAGATAATATGAATTGAGTCCACGTGTTGAATGAGTTTGCAGTTTTGTAGCCATTGTTGGCCTCTGAAGAGTTATGAAAATCAGGAGTTTGATGACGGACTAACAAAAAGTGCCTGATAAAACTAAGAAGTACAAATACAAGCCCTCAGCAGACAAAAAATGTGAGGCGGCAAACCTCAAAACTCAACATATTTATAGCTGAGGTGTGGTGTGAGCTGACATAACAGGATATGAGCAGCAGAATTTTATTTCCTTTTTTAAATTGATACCCATTTTGTTTGATGTGTTAATAGTCACCACCCTGATCTGTGCTTTAAAACAGTTTGAAACATTTTTAAACCGTGTCGGGGAAAATTTTGCTGCATTTAAATCCAGTTCAGCTGCAACATGCAAAGAAACCGGTCAGGATAATAAAATGAATGCCAGATTTGCATTGCAAACAGTGACAAATATCAACATTCACACAGAAAAACAGATGCATTTCTAATTAAATATGCTTGCAAATAAATTAAAAGTATTTATATTTGCTTTTAATAAATATTTCCATCCTTGTGCTCATAAATAGTTCAAAATATATATTGCATAAATGTAAAAAGGTCTTGCTTTGGGTCTTTCAACTTATTTGGTTTGGAGAGCCATTAAAAATAGCTGAGTCACTTTATGTGCAAAGTGTCTTTTTTCAGTGCATGCACCACACCCTGGCAGAGGTCCATTCAGGATGAAAATCATCCGTCATATTTAATTATTTGGGTATCAAATGTGAAATTGCAGTTGTCATCGCCACAAAGGCTCGTTTTGCCTCAAATTTCATCTGTCACCGAGAGCAGAGCAATGAACGTGTTTGCATCCTGGATCCCGTTTCATCGGATGAGGCAGATGGGAGGATTGGTTTTCGGTTTTAAAATATCTCGAGCTCTTCGCTTTAGTCAACAGCTGCAAGCCAGCAGAGATGAGCCCCCTAACAGTTTGATTTGTTTCAGCAATCAGATCATTTGTGTGTGTGTGTGGGGGGGGGTGGCTTTTTTAATAATTATTAAAAACTGAACTTTTATTCAGGGCTTTAAATCAAAACTTGACAGAACATTCATCATATTGTTCTCTTGACTGTTCACGTCTGTCCAATATAAACAAACATGCACGTACCTGTGGTGATATCACATAATGGTAATGATGCATTTCTGTCGGACTCGTTCATTCAGAGCTGCAGTTCTGAAAGTTAAAAGTTGGACAAAGGGAGTTCGTGTGAGGAGCGCTCACCTCCCGCACGTTCACAGGATGAGTGTTGTGAAGCTCTGCCAGTTAAACAAGATGCCGTCTATGAAGATCAGTCGAGGTTCTATTAAACCAGCTCAGCTGCCTTTTTATATAAATTATGTTCAGCATCTAAATACCATTTGAAGAAATGAAAATATTTTACAAAGTTTTGTAATATGTCTGGTATTTAATTTGTTCAAGGTACTCATTGCAAGCTATCAAACAGTTCAAGTATCTTGGGGTTTTATTCATTAGTGAGGAAATAAAGGAGCGTGAGATCGACAGATTGGTGCAGCGTCTGCAGTATTGTGGTCTCTGTACCGGTCCGATGTGGTGAAGGGTGAGCTGAGCTGTAAGGCAAAGCTCTTTGTTTACCGGTCGGCTTACATTCCTACCCTCACCTCTGGTCACGAACCCTGGGTAGTGACCGAAAGAATGAGATCGTGGATGCAGGCGGTTGAAATGAGTTTCCTCTGCAGGGTAGCTGGACTCTCCCTTAGAGACAGGGTGAGGAGTTCAGTTATCCGGGAGAGACTCGGAGTAGAACCGCCGCTCCTCCACATCGAGAGGAGCCAGTTGAGGTGGTTCTGGCATGTCCGACTAGGAGAAGATCCAGGACACGCTGGAGAGACTGTCTCTCGGTTGGTCTGGGAACACCTTGGAGTCCTCCTGGAAGAGGTGGCTGTGGAAAGAGATGTCTGGGCCTCCCTGCTCAGGCTGCTGCTCCTGCGACCAGAACAAGTGGAATATAATGGATGAAACAGTGCAGTCTGGCAGAATTCACTCCAGCAGGTATCCTGATACAGTGATATGATTTTTTTTATGCAGGTTCAAACTCACTGTAAACAAAAAACTTGGCCAAGTCCATTGGAAGCCTATCTGCATACTTTACTCAACAAATCTTAGCTTAAACGTGTCAAAACATCAAAACTCTCACACGGCTCTATCCAAATATCTTCCATGGACGTTGTTGTCCATCGTTGCTCTGTTTTCAGTCCCTTCGGCTGTTTCTGAAGGTAAACAAACAACTACACTTGGTAGCTGGCATCCTTTGTAAATTCAGCTCATGGTTATTTAAAGGCCACATGAACCATTGATATGAAACAGATGTGCTGATTGTGTCTCCCACGTAATGATTTTCCATATTTGTCCAGCCTTCATGACATTGCAAAGAGTACTTTTAATAAGTTTTTTTTTATCCGCGCATGCCTCTTTTTCCCTTTCTTCTTTTGGCTGCTCCTTTCTTCAGGGGTTGCCACGGCAAACTAACTCGCACCAAGACTTGGTAATTGTTTTTACGCCCGATGCCTAAGACACGAACACAGACCGCCGAGCTACCACAGCTCTCTACGTGGAGCAGGGAGCTGCCAGCTGGGCGCCCAGAGGTGCAGATGGTGGGGGTTAAGGGCCTTGCTCAGGGGCCCAGGGTGGGGCAAATGAGGGTGGAGGTTTCACATTTCCCACCAACATTTTGATGATGTTGGTCCGGGGAGTTGAACCGTCAACCTTCTATCCTCTGTGCCACCACTCCCTGCTCATGCCTGTAAACATTAGTTGGAAACTAAATTTAATGTAATATTTATTGTAAATTTTAAATACCACTCACTGTTATAGTTATGATTTT